GCTCAAATACAAATAAATACATACACACAGATCAAGAATACTAGCCTGTTATGTGCATCGTCAAACAGATCTAGTAATAGAGAAGAACTGGAAGACAAAATTTATGAAAAATTGAAAGAAATTAGAGGACTCACTTCAATTACACAACGCATAGCGCTGAATAAGGTAGAAGCCACCAAGGCCCTTCAAGTAAAAATTGACAACGTGAACGTCATATACAGCAGAATAGCTCAGTATCATACTCTAAGTATTCAAGACATTAATGACCTGATGTATGCTGCTGCCGCTGTAATTGCAGGTGAAGTAGAAGACAGACCAAATACCGTACGAGATACAAGAGAGCCGTCATGGAAGATCAGAATAAAGAAGCATATAGATGCATACAAATCAGAACTGGCAATATTACATGAATATAAGAAACGAGTCCCCACTTATAACATTCTAAAGAAAACGGAACAAATATGGCAACGTTACAACTCGTACACCAACATAGATGAACTTGAGTTAAATATAAAAATGAAAATGGAAGCAAAATCACAAAGGTTAAAGCGATATACGGAACGAAACAACTATTATTTTCACAATAAGACCTTTAACTCTGACGCAAAAAATTCTTTAGACAAATTAATGGACAAGGGAACGTTAGCAATGAACCACCGACACCGGATAATACTGCTAGCTTTTGGAAAGGTATATACCAAAATAAAGTAAGTTTAACAAGAATGCTGGGTGGATAAGGCAAGAAGAAAACAAATACCAAAGTATTGAAGAACAACAGTACGCCAAGTTAACGACAGCAGAAATAACCACTAATAATAAAAGACACAGATAATTGGAAAGCACCGGGACCAGATAGGTTGCAAAACTTTTGGATCAAAAAATTCTCAGCCCTTCACAGCGCAATGACAGCTGCTACTAATAACATTATTGAACATCCAGAAGATGCACCCTCATGGCCCACATCCGGAACTACAGTGCTCTTATCCAAGGGAAAGAATACGAAAGACCCAAAAAATTATCGCCCTATAACGTGCCTGAGTACAATCTACAAGATAATTACAGCAGCATTAGCTAACAGGATTGACGAACATCTACTTAACCACAACATTTACCCTGACGACCAAAAAGGAAGCAGGAAAGGAACAAGAGGGTGTAAAGATCATCTTTTAGTCAGCAAAATGGTAGTCAGTGTGGCAAAAACACGAAGGAAAAACTTATGCATGGCTTAGATCGACTACCGTAAAGCGTTTGATAGTCTACCGCATGAATGGATTGTGAAAGTACTGCAACTATATCGAGTTTGTCCAACTATACAAAGGTACATAGAATGTTCAATGAAAACATGGAAAACCGAAATGCATCTATACCACACTAAGGGATGCATAAACACCGGACATATAGGCATTCAGCGAGGCATATTTCAAGGCGATTCTCTCTCCCCCCTGCTGTTTTGCATGTCACTAATGCCACTGACCAGTATGCTTAACAGAGAAAAAACTGATTTTGTTATAGACGCGAACAATACAGTTAATCATCTGTTATACATGGATGACCTGAAATTATTTGCCAAGAATGAGAACGATTTGCGTCGCGCTTTATTGACAGTGAAAAAATTCTCAGATGATATAAATATGCAATTTGGATTGGATAAGTGTGCAACAGCAATATTCAAAAGGAGTAAACTCACTAAGGCACATAATATAAATCTAGATAAAGCAACAACAGTAATGAACATGGAGCCTAAATATCTAGGCATTGAAGAAGCAGATGGAATCGAAGATGAACATGCCAAGTCCAAAATATCGAGGGAGTATTATCGTCGTGTGCGCCTGATTCTTAAGACCTCCAAAAATAAAATATCCGCAATCAACTCTTTCGCTGTACCTGTATGAAGTTACAGCTTTGGAATTGTCAATTGGCTGAAGTCAGATATTCTGAGAATTGACCGGAAAACCAGGAAGCTGCTGACAATGGCACATATACACCATCCCAAGGCTGACGTGGGCATGTTATATGTGAAGAGGCGAAATGGAGGACGCGGAATGGTAGAAATTGAAGCTCTATATGAAACATCTATGGTTGGTCTCGGAGAATATATAACCCAAGGGAAGGACAAACTGTCAAAAATTGTGAAACAATGGGACAATGGCCTTTGCAAATACTCCATCCAGAAAGAGATGAAGAAGATTATATCTGAACGTCTAGGAGGCGAAGACACCAACAGAAACTCGAACGACAAGATCAAGAACGTGGCTGAAAGTGGCAGACTAGCAAAAGTAGCCTCGAAACCATTGCACGGACAGTTCTTCCGACAACTCGAGAGAACAGAGGTAGATAAACATGGAAGTAACAGTTGGTTGAGAAGCTCTACCCTGAAAGTGGAAACAGAAGCTCTGATAGTGCATGCACAAGATCAACCATTAAGTACAAGGTACGACCAAAAGTATATCCTGAAGCAAAGTATATACAGTAAATGCAGAACATGCGGGCAGAGTCCGACGAGCACATCAGACATATAGTAGCAGGTCGCCAAGTACTAGCCCCTTCAGAGTATACCGCTAGACATAACAATGTAGCTAGTTACGTTCACTGGAAAATATGTGACTCGTTTGGTATTCCAGTTACAGATAACTATTATCAGCATGGAATCCAGACTGTCACCAACATCAAGAATGACACCACTGATGTATGTATTATGTGGGATGAGCCGGTTATAACGGATCGGAAAATAAAAGCAAACCGACCTGACATTATAATTCATAACAGAAAGGAGAAAACATGTCAACTAATTGATATAGCGGTTCCCGACGATTCCAATGTAAAATCGAAAGAAAATGAAAAGATATCTAAGTACAGAGATCTCCAGATAGAAATACAGAGGATGTGGCATGTGACAGCTTGAATAACTCCTGTCGTTGTCGTTGCATTAGGAACTGTCACCAAAACCTTCCGCGGTTATTCTAACTCAATACCCGGTAAACCAACACTCCACCAAATTCAAAAAACGGCACTACTAGGAACAGCGCATATACTAAGGAAAGTGCTTGGATAGTCTCTTTGATACCTGGTTCGTATCTGGTCTATCCTTTATTACCAGACAGATACGTCTGTGGAAGAAAGAATATAATAATAATAATAAAAATAATAATAATAATAACTGTTCCGACAGGATTGTACCCAATCAAAGGGATAACAATAAAGAATACAGTAACAATTACAACAATCTTACTAAAAATAAATAGTTGCACAATATGTATCAAATAAGATATCCCAGTAAGATAAGATATATATATACATGGTGGCCCATCCATGCGTGGACGGAATATTACTCATAAACAAATACATTTTGAGAAAATCTATTTATTGCTAGTTATGATAGTCACAGTAAACAAAAATAAGAAATCTTTGGCTCGAAAGTCTGCATTTATCTCTTGAAGTATTGGTAACTGCAATTCAGTTTGTTTCCTAATTGAATGTCCTAGGGGGGTCGTTCCAGGTCCATTTTAAGATGAAAACTTCAAATGATCGTATATCCTAAATGTTTTAACTTTTGAAACACAGGGTGGTAAGAAAAATCAAAAAAACAAATCCCTGATTATGAATATCTATATTACCACTTAATCAAATTTGGCATACATGTAAACATGTCAAGAGGCATTCTGTTAATTTTACCTGCCTGTTTTGATGCTACACTGCTTATTTCTCTCTTATTAAAATTTCCAAACACTTCGGAGCAAAAATCGATACGAAATGATTTTTTTCAGTCTGATGCACGGTTTTTATAAAAACGATCATAACAATATAGTTAGTATGACAATATCACCATGCCGAGAATTTTTTGGGTGGAAATAGTGGGTCGGACATGAAAAATTGAATTCTTTTAGTCTGACGCACGGTTTTCACCTGGAAAATACAATCTATTTCTCGACATAGTGACATTGTCATACTGACGATATTAGGATCATTCAAAGAAACGTTATTTTATTTTTGTGAGCGAATACCGTGCATCGGAGTGAACAAAAACTAAGCAATCAAATTTGCCTAGAAATGACGAGATTTCAATTAAAAGTTCTTATTTTAAGAGAAATGAGTTGCGTACTATCATTGTCTGCCAAAATAAGCAAATGAAGTCGGTTCTTAACCCAAACTTCAAATGTCCAACATTCGGCTCATCAGCTGAGGTGAGTTTGTAAATCACTTGGTACTGTGGATTGACAGATAAAATATTTTCCTGCAATCCTGTTTAACTTTGCTCTTAGAACGCCATCAAGCTCTTTTGTAAAAGTCACTTGTTTCAAAAATCCATCTGCCGCAGGTACATCCATAAAAAGCAATAAACGAATGTCAGATTGTTTCTTCCTTTACCACAATATTTATAGCAACCTATTATATTTTCACAACAAATTTAATATCGTCAAGCACCGGTAGCCTATTTATCCTAAAAAGGTATGTTCTTGAAAATTGGTAACTAAATAATAATATAAAAAAATAATGAAACATGAGAATGACAAGTGATTTCACTCTTATTTCCAGGATTTTGAGCACCAATGGTCCAGGAAGTGTCTTCGAGCATTCGCAGTAAAAAATCTGATTCGGTTTTATTGCATAATCTTATTCAAAAAGTACCTCTTTTAAATCTGCTTGTTTCTAGGCACAAAATTGCGGAAAAAATTGTTGGAACAACTTTTACAAACAAACTCCAAGAACTGATTTTTTGCACCAAACACCTTTTTTGTTTTTTTGGGTCATTCTCAACAAGAAACATCCACAGGAACTGTTCCCTAAGATGCCAGTGGATTATTTTGCTGAAAAATAAATTTTCATAATTTTTATTCATACGCGGATACCCGGGAGTACCTCACTCTGGTAACCGGGTCCGAAAACCCTAGTGCTTAAGCCTCCCGCCTTTGCGAATGTTCAAGTATATAAAAAAAGAATGTATAAATCGTTTGGAAGTTGTTTTAAATGGTTCGTATACTCGTACATACACATCCACATACCTATAAAGAACAGCGCCTCAACCAGCACATCCAAAATGACAGATGGTCTTTCCGTCTCGAAGCTGGCGTTGTAGGGCACTACAACAGCCACGTAGAAAGTGGCCATGAGAATGAGCCAATCCCATGCGCCTTTGAACATTCCGTAGTGTGATATGATGAAACGACTTTTCTTAACAGATGCTGTCTTGTACTCTGGCAGGGGGGCTGCGGTTGAACTCAGCAGGTTCTATGGAGAAACAAAAAGGGCCTTAAATTGGTTGACTCTGTACTTCCTACGCAACGCTGTCATCAGTTCTTTAAGTATTATGTTGAGCACAAGATAGCGCCTCTGAGCAACGATCATGTATATAGCATGCAATTGATTCCTAGAAGTGTTCCCTTGTCTACCGACACACAATGGTCTAGAACACCCAAAAGCTGGAAAAAAGGTTACAAAATGAAGTAATGGAAATGTATTTGAAAGTTGATATTTGAAATAATTATTTGATCATGAAAACAAAACCTTGTTTATTTACACTGCCTTTGCTATGACAGATCGTCAAACTTGAAGTTTGTGGTAAGTTATTCGCTATAACTTTTTTGTGGTGAAATCCATGACGTTCTACATTATCCACCGTATTGTGTTTTGGAAACCCCCAAATATCTCAATATGGATTCTACTAAACAAGCTAAGATGTTTCAAGTGATATATGATAAACATGTGTCCTGACAGTTGTATTCAGGCACACCGTGGCTTAAATATATCATTGCTTTTCTGTCAATTTTTCTGTTTCTATTATTTAGTAAGGTTTTAACAAGGTTCCGCCAGTTAACTATGTTTGCATAATCTCCGCATGATCATTTTCTCTTTATATATATATAATACTGCAAAAAATACAATTAATTGCTAATTGGGAAATTGGCAAACTTTTAGGCTTTAGGTAACTCTTTTGACGATAAAATCAAGCTTTCGGCATTCTCTATGGACCCTTCATCAGGGTCTGACAACACAATTGTGATGCGCAACCCATACAGGAACGACTTAAATTGTCAAACAACTTACTCGTCGTTGAGGTTGCAGCCAAATGGTGTTTCAAAACGAACGTAGAGATGAGAGCACTTGTTACAAATATAAAAACAGTCGGACGGCTTATTGATAACGACAGATACCATCGTTATGTGTTAAAAATATCAATACACCCCAACATATTAAAAATTATTAATTATGAGAAGACATTTTGGGGAAACAATCGGTTCTAACCTCCGAAAATGATAATGGTGTTGCAGAAAGTGTAGGAGTCTATCGTCATCTGTCATCTTTTTACAGTCGTTAGATCGCACACTTTTATTATACTGTCATCATTCATACCCGCTTTCATATTATTGTATTTTGAGGTGTTTAGAGTGTTTACGGGGTGGCGCATCGAAAACGAAACAGACGCATTTAATGGCAGCTCAGTTTTTTTTTTGGAAAAACGCTCAGAACCGTCGATTTTGTTTTCGAAGAGGACACAAGTTTGGCAAAAAATCACGTTAGCACGTGCAGCCCCCTAAGCGGGGGTGACACCACTCCCAAAATCTTAAATGGAAAGGGGGGTCGAGTGATACCTTATTTTAAAGGTCTTTCAATTCCCTTTATAATGATATAAAATTAATGTACTTCAGTTCAGTAGTTTTGAAGATTTATTGATTTAAAGCTTAAATAAAACTAATACATCATCATTAGTGCAGATCAATACATTTGACAGCAAAGTAATATAAAAATGAAAAATGAACTGACCCGTTAGGCAAGTAAATGTTAAAAATGGCCACCATGACTCTCCATGCAATAATAAAGATTTTGCTCAAAACGTTGCCGAACATTTTGCAATATTTGAGGAGTAATTTGAAGGCATTCATTCACAATTCTTTGTCGCAGGTCTTCTAATTATGTTGGCTGAGTAGCATAGATTTTGATTTTTAAATGACCCTACATAAAGAAATCCAAAGGTGACAAATCTGGCGATCTTGGGGGCCATTCAATGGCACCTCTTCTACCAATCCATCCATCTGGAAACGTCTGAACTAAATATTGTCGAACAGGTAATGCGTAATGTGGTGGGGTACCATCCTGTTGGAACATCAACCTATTCGCAATGTACCGCCGATCATTCTGATTTTCAATTATGGCTGTTAATGCAGGATCTATGACGTCTTCCAGTAATTCCAAATACATTTCACCGATCAAATTTCCAGGTAAAAAAAAGGACCAACTAAATGATCGCCAAAAATACCAGCCCAAACATTTAATTTTTGTGGCTGCTGTGTATGGACCTCATGATAAATTCTGGGATTAGAATCGGACCAATATCGGTAGTTATGACGATTTACTATGCCATTTAAGAAAAAGGAACATTCGTCGGAAATGCAAATGTTCATCGTTTATAATTCGTTCACTCATATCTTCACAAAATTGTAATTGCCGATCAAAATCGTCTTCATTAAGTTCTTGTACCAGGTGAATTTTATACGGATGAAAACTATGGGTCTTTAGAATCCGTTGGACATTACGTCGACTAACACCACACACAGTCTCTAATTTGCGGGTAGTTAACGTAGGATCTACATAATCGTGCCCTAAAACCCCCACTTCTATTGCTTCGTTCCTTATGGGATTTTCAATGTTGCGTTTTTTATTGGCGACTGACCCAGTTTCCCGAAATTTAGCTACAAGTTCTTGAACATATTTTCGATGCACGTTACTGTTCTCATCTCGCTCATTAAATATTTCTGCTGTTCTATTAGCGCACTGATTATTTCCGAAAAATATTTCGATAATTTCAGCTCTTTCTGCTGTGGAATATTGGTTAATTTATGTAATAAAGCGTTTCAAGTTATTTTAGCAACAAAGTTTGGTCAAATCAATCGCAAACTATGTACTAAATTCCTATTTAAAATAAGTACGAGATATTTCTTTATCTTTCTTCAAGAAATAAATTTTTTGTCACAAAAAACGCTCCAATAGCTAATTTCAACAACAAAATGATAAACAAACCATGGGCGTAGTGAAGAAAAGCATTTACTTATTAAGTAAATTCTTTTAGTCAAATTTCTTCTGAAAGTAGTACACACTAATCTGATGTACCTATTAAAGTCTACTTTAAACTTTAAATCAATAAATCTTCAAAACTACTGAACTGAAGCTCATGTATTTTACATCATTATAAAGGGAATTGAAAGACCTTTAAAATAAGGAATCACTCGACCCCCCTTCCCACTTAAAATTTTAGGGTTGGTGTCACCCCCGCCCAGGGGGCTGCACGTGTTCACGTGATTTTTTGCCATACTTGTGTCCCCGTAGAAAACAAAATTGACGGGTCTGAGCGTTTTTCCAAAAAAAAAAAACTGAGCCGAGTAAATGCGCCTGTTTCGTTTTCGATGCGCCACCCTGTATATCTTCGGAACGCGTGCCTTAATGCGTCTCCTGATGACGTTCATCCAATATCTGCATTCTTTTTGCCAATAGAAACAGAAGAAAATCCTCGTCTTTTCTCCCCCAGTCAGTTGCCTCGTTGCAGTTTTGCAAATTGAAAAAAAAACCCTGAACACGTAAAATATCATTCTAATTAACAATTTTATAGATCTTTATACATTTATTATTGCTCATTGAAATTCTTAGAGACTTCTTGATTTTATTAGACATTCTACGTATTCAAATATGGGGGCAATGCCTACATGGCACCTTCTAATGCACTGGTCATTATTTTGATTTTTGAGCTGCCATAACTTTTTAGAACACGGGTATATTAGTTTAGTACATTTTAATCTTTTTTTGCCTTTGTTTCACTTTTCTTATACGAAAAAAATGTACATGGTTTCGCTTCAAGTGCGATTGCTTTCAAAGAGTAGTTTTTACTCAGACAGAGAGTAGAGTAGATTTTTAAACATTCTTTCTCTCTCTAGGGTTTTTTTCTTGTGAACATCATAATTCTTGGGACCGAGGCAAGCAGCCTTGCCGAGTGACGTGCCCACTACTGGCTTCCTTTTTTTTGTTCTTTTTGACCTGGGATACATCTCGGTTTCGCCTAGCCGTAACTGGGAGAAGACCTCCGCCCAGATAAGTGTAGTTTAGGCGTAAAACATATACATATGTAAAGCGTATTCCATGGTAAAAGTCAGCTAATTTTATTTTGCGACAGTTTTTTTTTGTAATATCCTGTCTCGCTCTCCAGTGGTGGAGCACATGTGCGTTTTGTCCTTTTTAATCAATATATTGTGATCCATTTGGTATCTTGTTTATTTTGCTCTCTCTGTGTGTACTGTTACTTAAATTTCGTCATCTCTGTTAGATTCTCCTTTTGTGTGGTGGTCAAGCAAAACAAGTTCCGACTAACATCTCGGGGAGTTGTGGCTTAATCCGTCCTAAGTCATTGGCGCTCTTAACCCGCCCCTACTCTCCGCTTTATTGACAACTCTTTTGGTTGGACCAACCGTTACATAGCATTTATCATTGTGTTTTATTAATTAACCAAAAAAAAGGCGTGACAAATTTTGTGGCGCCCAACGTTTAGAGCCTATCATTTTGAACAGTACACAGAGCCAAATAATTTGTTGAATTTTTTTTGAACAGACTTTTGAAAGTTAGTTGAATCTTTTGAACAGACTTTTAAAAATTTATTGAAACTTTTGAACAGACTTTATTATTTTATTGTTGATTGATTTGAATTGATGTAGGTATTATCGATTATTACATTTTCTTCTCTTCTCTTGTTGGTGTAAGATTATTTTGTTTGTTGGAAAGATGAGTTTTAAAATGGAAGTTGGTCAACCTAAGAATCGATGTTACTTCATGAGATTTTAGTCCGTGGTGTTGCTGTTGACGAAAGTCATACAGTTGACAAATTGAGAGCTACCTTGCGCTCCCTATTACAGTTGCTGGAACTTTTAAATTTCCACCATATAACCTTAATTTTGACGATAAAAAGGTGCAGATTCGGTCATTGCTGGATGAGGTTAACCATACTATCGGTACACATTCCGGGAAGGGCGCACAAAACTGATTTCTTACCGCTCAATCTAGGTTGGTCCACCTCCTCGACCGCATTAATCGAATCCCTGATTCAATTCTTAGCGTAGAAGATGAAACTTAAAGAACTGAACTCTTAATCGATGTTTTGGCAGCATCAGATTCTTTAGAGACGGCGTCTAGACAAGATCAATTAAATACACCTTTTCAAAATTCTGATGAAAATTTGGCTTGCCGGAGAA